TGCCCTGCCCCCGGAGCCCCCCCATGCCCTGCCCCCGGAGCCCCCCCATGCCCTGCCCCCGGAGCCCCCCCATGCCCTGCCCCCGGAGCCCCCCCGTGCCTTTAGCTTTTGGGGTTTCTCTCAGAAGGGCTCTTGTGGTTTGCCTAGGCCGGACTCAGACCAAGACTCACCTGCTTTCACCTGCTGAGTAAGGGACTCCAGGTGTGCACCGCGCTCACTCCCAGCCTGTTTTTGAGACAGGGTCCCACTGACTTGTCCAGGCTGGCCTCAGACTTTATTTTCTCATCTCGGTCTCCCAAGTAGCTATAGGAGAAGTTAGAATTTTTGAAAGTCAGATCGTTCCAGTCACGGTATGAAATGTGAAATGAGAGATTTGCAATCTAGAGAAGTATGATTCCGTTTAAATTCCTAACCAGAAAAGATGTTTACTTCAGAAACGTCAGCCTTCTGACTCAGCCCGGTAGGCACACTGTGCAGATACCTCTAGGTCCGAGCTTAGGGAAAGCCGCACAGACAAGCCCACGGGCAGATCCCACCATGCCCCAGTCTGAGCCTCGTCAGTCAAAGACAGAGAGAGAGAGGAGGATTTTAACGAAAGCCTCTGAACTCCTCCCCAGCCTCTCGGCAATGGACGGTCACTGCACTTGATACGGGCTCAGCCTTTAAACATCTTGGGAAAGATGTGCGCGTTTAGGTTTTAAGCAACATGTATTAAGCATTCTTCGTGGCCAGGCACTGAGCTTGACTTCTTTTTTTCTTTCTTCACTCAAATCTGTACTTTATTAAGACTCCCTTAGTTTTTCACTCCGCGTCCTCATTATGTTCCGGGACCCCGTCCAGGACCCCGCACAGCACTCAGCTTACAGTGGTGGCCATGCATGAAATGTTCTGTTTCTTTGAATGTTAATGTCACCATAGAGGATGCGCAGAGGGGTTGCAGTTACATCAGCCAAAACATTTGTGTTTGGGCAGCGTCGCCCTAGGAAGTCAGTTTTAAAGGGCCAGTTTACGTTGATGGAACTCATGGTATTAATGGCATGTCTCCTGAGTATTCATCTGGCCTGGGCTGACTTTTTGCCACATGTGAGAGTTTCTGCCCATTTGGGGAGGGCTCGTGATGAGCCCTTGCGGCATTTCGAACGCACAGCAGCACCTCCATGTTACTCTGTCTGTGACGCAAAGAAGAAACTGAGATTCAGCCAGGTCACTTCAGCGCACCACACATAACCCAGATGTTAAGTCAGGACAGGAAGGAAGGTCCGGTCCTGTCCATCAGCGGCACATGCCATTTGTTCTACACCAAAGACAGAAGCCTGTGCTGTGAGCATAAAATCCCCTCAGACTCAGGCCCTGGTCGGAGATGGTCGTAACGTGTTCAGAACGCACCCGTGTGTTTTGTGAGAAATGAAGAGCAGGTGAGGTATTCAGATGATCCAGCAGAGGGCAGGAGTCTGCCTCCTTCATCTGTTCTTAGACTATGAATTCATGGAAATGTGACATTTGCTCAGCCAGGCACGGTTTGTCAAGGCTGGAACACCGCCCAGAGCCGATGCGCCTTGCAAATACCTTCCAATCCGTCGTGTGTGTTCCCCCCCCCCCCCGAGCCATTGCATTTGCACAGTGTCTTGCTTGCTCCTTCACCCAGCCCCTCCTCTTCTTCATCGGACGCCATTTACCTGGAGTGGGGGTCGGGGTGGCAGAGCCCTTCCTTCCCTGGAATCTCTCGACCATCGTCCAACTTTGAGGGGGCCGGGATGTCCGCGGGGACTCGGCCCATACCTGGGCCCATACCTGCTCCTTTAAATCACAGGCTTTTAGGAGAAAGCACAGCCCTCTGGGGACCAGCCGAGGCCCTGACCCTGCAGGCCTGGAAATGCCCGGCTGACAGATGCTCGCTAGGTCAAACGCCCAGCTGCTAGCTTGACTCAGAAGAAGCTTTCGTAGGTGTCAGGGACAAGTGTCCAAACACCAGAAACATCTGGGTGCCCTTCATTTGTGAAAAACAGGGCAGCCTTTTAATTACAAATGAGGAAGTTATGTTCGCAAAGCAAGAGCTGTGAAGGACTCCCCCCCTCCCCCCCCCAGCCAAAAGCTGCAGCGACGCAGCCGCTGCCCCCCCTCCCCCCCCAGCCCAGCTCCAGGGGCGTGCATCAATCAAATCAGAAGCGGCTCAGACTCAATTTCACACTCGCTGATTGCCAAATTTCTGTTCATTTATTATGAGTCCTCTTAAGCTCTAGGCCAGGGCGATCCAGCTTAACTCCACGGCAAAAAACACCAGAGACTTGGATGGTTTTCCAGTAGACAGCCAAGGGAGAAACCATTAAAGTTGAGAACGTGATACCCCACCAACACTTGAGATACGTCCTCCCTCCCTCCGGGTGGTCCCGTACAAGACCCCTGTCTGTGTGAAGCCAGAAGCCTCAGGGTCAGCTGTGATCTGAGCTGGTTCCACGGACCCTGTGGCCAGGGGTTCTGTCATTGCCATTCTTTCTGTTCCTTGGCTGACTGTGAAGGTCTGACCATTCCCATCTCGAATAGTGCCAGAGTTCTCATGATTCGGGCACGCGTGGCCCAGGGCTCCTAGATGGGACCCTGCAGCATGCACAGAAATTGCACCCCACCCCACCCCACCCCACAGGGCTCCACCCACAAAGGGCTCCATGGAGGAGAAGGAGGGGGAGGGAGAGAAGGAGGAGAAGGAAGAGAAGAAGGAAGAGGAGGAGGAGGGTGGGGGGAGAAGACCGCCACTGTACCAAATAAATGGCCTGGTTGCCAACAGCCTGCCGGAGAGTCAGTCCACAGGATAGCCTGAGGCAGTACCAGAAAAGCCCTCACTCCTCAGAATGGCTTCCTACCCAGCCCTTGGCGCTCTTCCAAGTCCAGCTTCCCCCACTTCCAACCGAAGCTGAGGGCTACGGAGTGATTTCCAGTCCACCGCAACACGGCGGCCACACTGCCTTTCAGATCGTGCGTCTCCTGCGTCCTGTGGACGTGCGTCTCGGCACACACCAGGCGTCGCAGGAGCGGCGGCACGGGGTCCCCGCTGGACCCCGGTGGGGGGCGCTGCGGTGGGGGGCGCTGCGGTGGGGGGCGCTGCGGTGGGGGGCGCTGCGGTGGTGGGCGCTGCGGTGGTGGGCGCTGCGGTGGTGTTCCCTCCCACGCCCGTCCTCCGGTCACTGAGGTGTTACACCGCCACCCGCAGCTGGGCGCTTCCTTCTCTCAAGTCACCGAGAATTCTGAATGAAGATCTCAGTGAGGCGCTTGGTGAACACCTGCGGGCACTCAGGGCTCCAATGCTGAGGGGGTGCAGGGATCGGCATCCTGCGGGCTCTTGGGGCTGAGGGGAACGGCGTCCTGCGGGCTCTCGGGGCTGAGGGGAACGGCGTCCGAGATCTGAAAAGCAGCCGTCAGGCGTGAGGGTGCAGCCCGCCTGCCACCCTCAGAGGGCGCTGTGCGGGCCACAGCATGGGCGCCGGCTGAAGGCCGAGGCGGAGGGTGAGGTGGGCTGGGCCCGAGGGGCGGCCTCCGGGGACCCCGCAGGTGAGGGCCGGCCGCGTCCAGGCCCGCTGAAACCTGACCATCATGCTCTGACGGTGGAGCTTTCCAGATGCCCCGGAAGCATACTCTGCGGCGGGCAGATGCTGCCTTCCAGCACCGCATCCCCAGAAAGCCTTGCTGGGCACCAGGGGCGACGGTGTGCGGGTGGGTGAAGCCGCAGCCAAGGCTGGACAGCCGGTCCCCTGTGGTGACTCGTGCCAAGGCTACCCTCTGAAGACAGGACGGGCTGCAAACATGGCTTTCTCAGCCCGCGCCAGGCTGAGCGCCTCTGGGTCTCCGTGTGAGGCAAGTTTTGAATTTTTAAAATAAGGACATTAAACATTCAGCTCCCCGCCTTTCATTAAGGACAGGAGAGTCTAACACACGTGAGGGGGGACCAGCCTCCGGGGTAAAAGATGGGCCACTGCGGGGCTGGGTGGAGGCCGAGGCGGCCCGGGACTCAGGCCTGTCCTGCGCACATCTCCCCGCGCATCGGGACATCAGGCTCTCCTGCGCCGACGGCCAGGGCGCCCTGGTCTGGGGGTGATCACACCTGCCCTGTGCCGCCGACGGCCGGGGCGCCCCGGTCTGGGGTGATCACACCTGCCCTGTGCCGCCGACGGCCGGGGCGCCCC